ATCCCTCTCACAGTTACTACTGTTGAGCAAGGTACCCCTTATACTATAGCTGTGCATTTGGTTTTTCTTGCCTAAATGTAGAACCTTACTTTTTTCACCATTGGATTTCATTTCGTTAGATAGCGCCCAGTGTTCAAGTCTGTCCATATCCTCCTGTATCCTAAGCCTGTCTTCTGGAGTGTTGGCTATTCCTGCCTCAAGATGTAACTCAAAAGTCTCGTCCAAACATTAGAAATAGGGAGGAATCAAACACCTCCAGCTGCTTCATTTTCTCCACAGAAAGAAATGAAAAGAGTGAGAATGGCAGATCTTTAGAGAGCATTAAATCTTCCAGCTGGAGGTCATCAGAGCTTTCACCCCCAACAAATGTTTGAAATATTTCCTGGAGAGAGCAGAGATGTAGAAAATCAGCACAGCGCCTCCAAATTATCTAGCAAAGATCCTCCATTATGTCGATTAAATCAGCATGGAAAGGGCGCCACTTTGAAATAAAGCTTTCAAAACTATATGAAAACTATAGTTAATTGCATTCTGCACTTAGTGTTCAGGGGGTGGGCGGGTCAGATCTGGCGAGCGGCGCTAACAAATGCACACTGACTTGTCCATGTGGGGTATTGTGCTTTGCGGCTTCCGATTACTGGATGGTTGAAATATCAAGAGCGTTGGCATAATAGTTTGGCCTGGGAAGAGGCCCCCTCATCGCTCATTTCATTGGGGTGCCAGGTCAGCAGGGCATACTTAGCAAAGCTTGGCCTGGTCTGAGGAGGACTCATTTGTTTTAGTGTTGTGCCTTGCTGGCAATGTTCTTTGTTGGGTATTTAGGAGAAGTAGTCTAATACAGTGAATTACAGTGCCACAGAGAAAGTTGACATGGAGAGCAATAAATGGCCCTTATTGCTGTCTCCCCCTGTCTCAAAAGCAATAAACATTTGGGTAGTGCCTGTGTTGGCCTGGCACCCATTCATACATTATTGAGTGTTCCAAACCTGCCCCAGTCATGCCCAATGTAAAAATCCAGTTTGTGTCACAAGCGCACCCTGGGCTACTTGAGCCTATACTGGTAGTCCTGAGCTCACAACCACAACTGAGCCCCACATTTAAGTTGCTAAGCAAAACATTTGTTAAGTGAATTCTGCCCAATTTCTTGCCACAGTTGTTAATAAGGGAATCACTATTGTGCAGAGGTCTTCAAACTTGGCCCTTTTATGACTTGTGGACTTCAACTCCTGAGGAATTCTGGGAGTTGAAGTCCATAAGTCATAAAAAGGCCAAGTTTGAAGACCTCTGCTGTATACAGTGTAAAAACCTGATGGGCTTAGAGCAGGGGTCTTCAAACTTGGCCCTTTTATGACTTGTGGACTTCAACTCCCAGAATTCCTCAGCCAGACACCCCAGCTGAGGAATTCTGGGAGTTGAAATCCACAAGTCATAAAAGGGCCAAGTTTGAAGACCTCTGCTGTAGTGGTTACGTTAGTAACACGGTTGTTAAGTCAATCTGGCTTCCCCGTTGACTTTGCTTGTCAAAAGGTCGCAAAAGGTGATCACATGACCTCATAAATGTAAGTCAGTTGCCAAGCAATTGAATTTTGGTCACCTGACCCTGGGGATGCTGCAACAATTGTAAATATGGGAAAAGGTCACAAGTCACTTTTTCAGTGCTGTTGTAACTTTGAACGGTCACTAAATGAATGCTTAAAAGCCCAGTCTGAATGAGGATTTTTGTCAATTAAATACCCGAGCACATAACACTTGGACATGGGAATAATTAATGTTGAAAAAAGAAGGGCAGATTCTGACGTTCGCACCTTAATGCATAGCATTGCAGGTGAATTTCACAAAAGTTCTGAAAATAAGTATGTTTCCATATATGTTTTAGAAACAAATCTTTAGGGGATATTTCAAGTCTGTTTTGATCTATCTTTCAGTTCTGAGAAATCTACAATCCTGAATAGAGTGAGTCCTCGACTTACGACCACAATTGAGCCCAATATTTATGTTGCTAAGTGAGACATTTGTTAAGTCGCTGGGGAATTCTGGGAGTGAAGTCCACCTGTCTTTAAACGGCCAAGGTCAAGAAACACTGACATAAAGGATAGTTGAGATAAACTGTCATATAGCTGGCAGAACTGGTTCAAGAAAGGCCGTGGTTTAGCTTTAATAATTTTATAAAGAACAGACGGAAATTTGATCAAATATTATTAAAAACAGATGAAAACCTGATTAAGAAGCTTTACAGATTTCTGCTAAACTTGAAGATGGAAGAAGAACAAGTAAAAGAAACAATGATAACATAGGCAAAAAACTTTGGATATTCTATTGACTTGGAAGACTGGCAAAAATTAGGGGATAGAAATATGAAATTGACTAAAGCAGTTTCGTATAAAGAAAATTTGTATAAAATGTTTTATAGATGGCCTATGACACCGGTAAGATTAGCCAAAATGTTTAAAAATACTTCAAATAATTGCTGGAAATGTAAACAAAGGCCAAATACTTGCTACCATATCTGGTGGGTATGATCCCTTCCCTAACCCCATAAAACCCAATAAAAACTTTTATAAAAAAAACAAAAATAAATAAATAAAATGCTCCTGAGACCGTAAATCCACAAACATCTGTGAAGATCTGACTCTTCCAGCTGAAAGATAAGCATATAAGGAAACTTGCTGAGGCTGTTCGAATTCAGACCAGGAGCAGCTGATCTCTAATCCTTAACATGTGTTTGGGTTTTCCCAAAGTTATTTGAAGAAAGAAGAAACCACTTTCCTATTTATGTTTCTCTGCTGCCTAATTTCTCTTTTGTAGAAAGCCCCACCAAGTCCTAATTAGGGGCCTTTATGCTATTTCTATGTTGTTGGCGTGGTAATTAGTGTGTTTATTGCCAGTCCTGACATTTTTATGGACATGAGTGAATCCATGTAATTCTTCACATCTCAAGAACTGACAGTTGGATTGACCACTCCAATTTTTTTTTTTCAGATAGTTATTTTTATTACTTCTATGCTCCTGGGAGGACAGTTGAGCTAGGATTCATAGTTATGGTTTTCTATTGATAACAATATTGGCCATATACGTCTTTTGTAAGTTAAGTTGAGTCCAGGGTTTTGGGTCTCATTGGGCCATTGGCCAGCAGGATGAGTTGCTGGTACTGCCTTTTTACCACTGAATGTTTCTTAACTGTAACTTGGTCTACTAATCTGTTTCCAGATCCAGTACGAAGCATTGATACTGAATCTCTTGAATAGGGACCAAGAATATTTATCTATATTCACTCAACTCACTTTATAATGCCCTGGTAAGACCACGCTTGGAATGCTGCATCCAGTTTTGGTCGCCACAATGTTAAACAATGTTGAGACTCTAGAAAGAGTACAGAGAAGAGCAACAAAGATGATTAGGGGTTTGGAGGTTAAAACATATAAGGAACGGTTGCTGGAATTGGGTATGTTTAGTTTAATGAAGAGAAGGACAAGGGATGACATGATAGCAGTGTTCCAATATCTCAGGGGCTGCCATAAAGAAGAGGGAATCAAGCTATTCGCCAAGGTACCTGAAGGCAGGACAAGAAGCAACGGGTGGAAACTAATCAAGGAGAGGAGCAACCTAGAACTAAGGAGACATTTCCTAACACTGAGAAAAATTAACCAGGGGAACAATTTGCCTCGTGAAATTTGCCTCTGAAATGGTATAGGGTTTCCTGCCTGAGCAGGGGGTTGGACTAGATGACCTCAAAAGTCCCTTCCATCATCCAGTTAGAACAATTAACCAGTGGAACAGCCTGCCTCCAGAAGCGATGAATGCTCCAACACTGGAAGTTTTTAAGAAGAGACTGGACAGCCATTTGTCCCAAATGGAGTAGGGTTTCCTGCCTGAGCAGGGGGTTGGACTCGATGACCTCCAAGGTCCCTTCCAACATTATTATTATTATTATTATTATTATTATTATTATTATTATTATTATTATTATTATTATTATTATTATTATTGTCATCGTTGTTGTTGTTGTTATTGTGTGTTATGGTTCATGGGGTTGCAAAGAGTTGGACACAACTTAGTGACTGAACAACAACAAAATGCACTCAAGTCTTGAGTAATCTATGGAGGTCTCTCGTCCAGAAGCCCCGTGAAGTAAAAAAGTCTTATTGTTTACATGAGACTTTTCTTATTTAATTTTCGACTTACAACCATTTATTTAAAGACCGTTTAAAGTTACAATGGCACTGAAAAATGTGACATGACTATTTTTCATACTTACGACTGTTGCAGCATCCCCGTGGTTATGTAATCAAAATTGGGGTGCTTGGCAACTGGTTCCTATTTATGATGGTTGCAGTGTCTCAAGGTCATGTGATCCCCTTTTGGGACCTTCTGACGAGCAAAGTCAATGGGGAAGCCAGATTTACTTAACCGGTGTTCCTAGAAGAGATCAACCCCGACTACTCTTTAGAAGGCCAGATCCTGAAGTTGAAACTCAAGTCCTTTGGCCACCTAATGAGAAGGAAGGACTCACTGGAGAAGAGCCTGATGCTGGGAAAGATGGAGGGCAATAGAAGAAGGGGACGACAGAGAATGAGGTGGCTGGATGGAGTCACTGAAGCAGTAGGGGTGAATTTAAATGGACTGCAGAAGATGGTAGAGGACAGGAAGACCTGGAGGAACGCTGTCCATGGGGTCGCGATGGGTCGGACACGACTTCGCAATTAACAACAACTGCAGTGATTCACTTACCAACTGTGGCAAGAAAGGTCGTAAAATGGAGGCAAATGGAACAACGCTCACTTAACAACTGTCTCTCTTAGCAATAGAAATGCTCTGTTCAATTGTGCCTGTAAGTCGAGGACTGCCTATAGTTTAATTCTGAATTTTTGCTTTGAGCTGTTTAGCAAACCAGTTAACACCATTAAGATTTGGCTCAAATGTCACATGTTTTAACTATATCTGGTCAATCCACTGTATAGGCATACTATTAAATGTTGTGATTTCTTCTTCTTTTCTTTCAGAACTATGGATGTCTTCGTTAGTTTGAATCAAGGGCAATCGCTCATTTCCAGCTCTTTAACCATTACGGCAACAGAATGTGTAAGTACACAGCCAATAAGAGCCAGAAAGAAGTATATTTATATCGGGGAGGCTATATTTTTTAAAACAAAACTAGGTAATCCATATCTGAGTATCTAATTTTAAAAGAGGCTATACTCATGAGATGCATCTGAAGCCAGGCATACTTGCTTTCACTTTTATTTAAAAAAAATGGCAGGGATTATTATCCTAAAAGTTTCTATGGAGATTCTCAGTCATCCAGGTCTTAGTTCTCCCAAATGTGCTTTTTCATGAGGCAACTGGACTTCGTTGTTTTTCTTTTGCTTCTCATCCAAGAAGCTTCTTCTGCTCTGACTGGATGGTGGGGAATGGAAGGATTTATACTCCTTGCAGACAGCTGGTGGTTTGCATTCTTTTAGAGAATCATTGAGGCCATTTGGAAGTTTACCTCAGAGTCACCTAAGTAGTACAAGTGGGTGTGGATCCTTCTTGGAACTGCTGAAAGGACCGTGTTGTAGACTGGAGATAGATGATGTTGTACCCCTCCCCCTCTGTTGAGAGAGGGCTGTTCAATTTTGACACAGATGGCCTCTTTGACCCCTCTTTCAAACCAGTGGTCTTCTCTGTCCAAAATGTGGACCTTGCTGTCTTTCAAAGAGCGCCTTTGTCTTTTAAATGCAGATGCAGTCTTCAAAGAAAAACAAGAAAGTCCAGTTGCCTCATGAAAAAGCATCTTTGGGTATCCTAAAAGTTGTTACTCTGGCTGCCAACTTTCAAATGAACTTGGCTGCCACGGCAATGGGAGGAGGGAAATGTATTATTTTCGTTTAGACATAACAATAACTGTTCTATGTGAACCAAGGTCACGCTACCTAAGTTTTGGCGGGCTGAGGCTTCCCTTAGAAAGCCCGTCAAAATAGCTAATTGGGGATTGTGATTTATGACATATTAGGGGTGGGAAGTTCAACTTGTTACTTTGTAACCTGGGGGGGGAAAACTTTCAGTCTTGGTTTCCCCTTTGCTTGTGCTGATACTATGTAGCCATTAAATATATTCTTTGAGGAAAGCAATTGCCTCAGAGTTCTTATTTCTATTGGTCTCATCAATCGGAATCGTGACACTTACATCTTAGGTGGGCATTATTTGAGTCAATAGCAAAGGCCACTTCATTTAACATATATTTTGGGGAGCTGGGAAGGATGAAGGATGAAGTCTGAGTGATGCAGAGTTGGTCAAGCTAGACAGAATCAAAAGTATCCTCTTATTTCTTGGGAGAAAACTTGGGGATTTTTCTTTCGTTTTTGCTGTTAATCTGATATTTGTTTTGCTTTTATATGTACAGGTAGTCCTCAGCTTAACAACCATTCATCTAGTGACCGTCAAATGTTGACAAAAGTGACTTATAACCAATCCTCACACTTATGACCACTGCAGCATCTCCACAGTCAGGTGATCAACAGTTGGGTGCTTGGCAACCAGCATGAATTTCTAATGGTTGCGGTGTCTTGCAGTCATTTGTTCACCCTCTGTGACCTTCCCAGCCAGCTTTTGACAAGCGAAGTCAATGGGGGAAGCTGGATTCGCTTAACAACTGCCAGACTCACTTAACGAGTGCAGTGATTTGCTTAGCAACCCCGGCAAAAATAAAAAAGAGTTATAAAGTTGGGTGTGACTCAATTAACAGCCGCCTTAGCAATGGAAATTCTGGTCCCAAATGTGGTCGTAAGTTGAGGACTATCTGCAACTGTAGGCTCATGCTGTACTCTTTGTGACTTTCCTACCTCCGAATGACAAGAAAACATTCCTCTTATTTTTCGGCAATTTGCATGGCAATTTGCATGCAGGTAGAGATTAGAGCATTTCGAAAGAGAGATTGGGGTGGCAAGATGGCTCAGATTTCCACTCCTGTCTTAGATGGAGAAGAAATCTTCAAATGATGTCTCTCCAGGAATCTCTTAGATCTTATTTCTGGAGAAATAATACCTTATAATACTTTATAATACCGACCTTATTCATAGCCAAACCCTTCCATAGGTCTCTGTGATACCAAAATGATGACGCATATCATAATAGAATAACAGAGATGGAAGGGACCTTGGAGGTCTTCTAGTCCAACCCCCTGCTCAAGCAGGAGACCTCATACCGGTGGTTCTCAACCTGTGATCTGCGGACCTCTAGGGGTCCACAATGTCATCACGGGGTGTGTGTGTCCACGAAGGGTTGAAGAAATGTAATGATTTATGAGTTAAGTCTTTGGGGTCCACGGCCATGGTCCGTGGCCCCAAAAGTTATTTAAAGGGGGATCTTGAGGTGAAGAAAAGGTTGAGCTCCACTGCCCTATACCATTTCAGACAACCTCTTTTTAATAAAAGCCGCCAGTGTTGGAGCGCCCACAACTTCTGGAGGCAACTTGTTCCACTAATTAATCGTTCTCACTGTCAGGAAATTTCCCCTTAGTTTTAGGTTGGTTCTCTCCTTGATGAGCTTCCATCCATTGCTTCTTGTCCTGCCTTCAGGTGCTTTGGAGACTAGATTGACCCCCTCTTTTTACGACCTCATGACACAATCTCCTATTTGCTTTGTGCTGTTGCCAGCAAAGACATAAGGGGAGGAGTTTATATGCGATAGTACAATGTACATTTCATCATTTGCCCTCCCCTTCCTCTCCTGCATGTGCCGGTATGCCCCCATGAGTCCATTTCTGCCATCTCCGGCCCAAACATGGTTGAGAGAATCCTGGGAGTGATAATCAAGAGAAGGACCAGGGTGGCATGAGAGCAGCATTCCAATATCTCAGGGGTTGTCACAAAGAAGAGGGAGTCAAGCTCTTCTCCAAAGCGCCTGAAGGCAGGACAAGAAGCAACGGATGGAAACTAATCAAGGAGAGAAGCAACCTAGAACTAAGGAGAAACTTCCTGACAGTGAGAACAATTAACCAGTGGAACAGCCTGCCTCCAGAAGCAGTAAATGCTCCAACACTGGAAGTTTTTAAGAAGAGATTGGACAGCCATTTGTCCGAAATGGTGTAGGGTTTCCTGCCTGAGCAGGGGGTTGGACTAGATGACCTCCAAGGTCCCTTCCAACTTTACTATTATTACTAAAATGAATTCGATCTGCATTTTTGTCAGATTGCTGCAATGCAGGCATTACCAAGAGGCTTTTGAGTATGTGCGTTTAATTTCCAATGAGAGAGACAGAGAGAATGGTCCAACACTGGAAGTTTTTAAGAGACAGCCATTAGTCTGAAATGGTATAGGGTTTCCTACCTGAGCAGGGGGTTGGACTCCAAGATCCCTTCCAACATCATCATCATCATCATCATCATCATCATTATTATTATTGTTGTTGTTGTTGTCGTCGTGGTCGTCGTCGTTGTCATTGTTATTCTATTATTATACTATTGTTGTTATTGTCGTCGTTGTCGTTGTCATTGTTATTCTATTATTATACTATTATTCCTATTTTTTGCATATAATTTTTATTAAGGATTTTGATTACAGTAATAAAAACTAACACACCTAAATGTGAAAAAAAGGAAAAGCAGTAGATAAATTATAGTAAATAATAAAAGTAATAAAAAGTGCAAAGAAAAAGAAAGAGAAAAAGAAGGATAGGAAAAAAGAAGAGAAATATATAAAGATGACTTCTGGCTTTCATTAAGAGAAGGGACAAATTGTCCTTGGTCACCCTTCTGGCACAGGCTGCTGTTATTTACATACAAGGATTATTTGCTAGTAACACACTCCACAGCTCATAAAAGGCTCCTAAACCCACTTCCCTGGAGAGGCTCTATTGAGATGCATCTCTAGCCTCTTTAAAGAACAAAGAACGCTCTTCTTTCACCTCTGGAAAACGGCCCCAGGAGATTTATTCCAAGCAAGTTTAGATCATAATGATCATCTTCCAAAAGAAGGATTTTTTTTTTCCCTCTCTGTCTCTCTCTCTCTGTCTCTCTCATTGGAAATTAAACACACATACTCCAAAGCCTCTTGGTAATGCCTGCGTTGCAGCAATCTGACAAAAATGCAGATCGAATTCATTTTAGTAATAGTAATAGTAGTAAAGTTGGAAGGGACCTTGGAGGTCATCTAGTCCAACCCCCTGCTCAGGCAGGAAACCCTACACCATTTCGGACAAATGGCTGTCCAGTCTCTTCTTAAAAACTTCCAGTGTTGGAGCATTTACTGCTTCTGGAGGCAGGCTGTTCCACTGATTAATTGTTCTCACTGTCAGGAAGTTTCTCCTTAGTTCTAGGTTGCTTCTCTCCTTGATTAGTTTCCACCCGTTGCTTCTTGTCCTGCCTTCAGGTGCTTTGGAAAATAGCTTAATTCCCTCTTCTTTATGGCAGCCCCTGAGATATTGGAATACTGCTATCATGTCCCCCCTTGTCCTTCTCTTCGTTAAACTAGACATACCCAATTCTAGCAACCGTTCCTTATATGTTTTAGCCTCCAGTCCCCTAATCATCTTTGTTGCTCTTCTCTGTACTCTTTCTAGAGTCTCAACATCTTTTTTACATCGTGGTGACCAAAACTGGATGCAGGATTCCAAGTGTGGCCTTACCAAGGCATTGTAGAGTGGCATTAATACTTCACGTGATCTTTTATGGGCATTGTTTTACTTTTTTGATGATGTTTATTAGTTCTGGATTAATGAAAGTTTTTGCCGGAAAAAAAATATTAACAACCCACCACACTTGGTCAACCGGTAAAAATAACAACATGTTTAGATTTTTAAGCAGCTGGAATTCAGTGTCTATATGTTTGCAGCAATACAGGCAGTGGTGGGATTCAACCGGTTCGCACCACTTCAGCAGAACTGGTAGCTAATTTTTTGTTGCCCAGGCCCAGAATGGACTTCTGGAAGCGGCATCCACACAGAGAACCGGTTGTTCCCATATTTGAATCCCACCACTGCATACAGGGTAAACTCAGTTGTCGAGTTTTGCCATCTCTGTGAGTCTTCAAAATGTTTCTGATTCAGAATCTGAAAAGGCGCATGTGCTGCTTAATAGAGGAAAGCCACAGGATGCTTTTAGGCTGAACTTACACAGGCATTTGCTATCCCAACCTTTTATGTCACTTTCATAAACAGGAAACGTATTTGCTGACTTCTACGGGCAGAGAAAGCCGCAGCTTTTCATGCAAAACATGAAATCCCGACATTAAAAAACTGCTGAAGTGCAAAGTTGGCCTACAGAGTCATAGTGCACACTGGAAGGTTTTAAGAAGAGACTGGACAGCCATTTGTCTGAAATGGTATAGGGTTTCCTGCCTGAGCACGGGGTTGGACTAGATGACCTTTAAGATCCCTTCCAACTATTATTATTGTTGTTGTTGTCATTGTTGTTATTGTTATTGTTGTATTTAGAGGCACGTGCTGTTAACATTCATTAAATTGCTCATTTGGTGCTTAGAGGAAATAAAACTAAGAAGAGGATAGAAACATAGAATCATAGAATATCAGAGTTGGAAGGGACCTTGGAGATCTTCTAGTCCAACCTCCTGCTCAAGCAGGAGACCCTATGCAATTTCAGACATGTGACTGTCCAGTCCCTTCTTAAAAGCCTCCAGTGAAGGAGCATTCACCGCTTCTGGAGGCAGGTTGTGCATATGTGCACTATGACTCTGTAGGCCAACTTTGCATTTCAGCAGTTTTTTAATATTTGGGATTTCATGTTTTGCATGAAAAGCTGCGGCTTTCTCTGCCCGTAGAAGTCAGCAAATACGTTTCCTGTTTATGAAAGTGACATAAAAGGTTGGGATAGCAAATGCCTATGTAAGTTCAGCCTAAAAGCATCCTGTGGCTTTCCTCTATTAAGCAGCACACAATCACTGCTGATTGATTGTTCTTACTGTAAGGAAATTTCTCCTTAGTTCTGGATTGGTTCACTCTTTGAGTAGTTTCCATCCATTGTTTCTTGTCTTGCCTTCAGGTGCTTGGAAAATAGGTTGACCCCCCCCCTCTTTGTGGCACCCCTTCAAATAATGGAGAACTGTTATCATATCTTCCCTGTTCCATCTTTTCACTAGACCAGCCATACCTAATTCCTGCAACCGTTCATCATATGTTTTAGTATGCTGGCCCCTAATCATCTTTGTTCCTTTTCTGCACAAATATATGAACCAAGAACCTGCTTATTCTTTTCTTTAACCTGGTGGTGCTTTCTTACTGCTAATCTACCCCATTAGATTCTATTTTACGTCTTTATTTATATCCCACCTTTGTTATCTTTATAAAGAACTCAAGACACTGAACATATTTTATACTCCTATTTTGTCTACAACAACAAACCTGCAGGGTGGGTTGATCCAAGAGAGAGAGACTGGTCCAAAGTCACCTAGCTGGCTTTCATGCCTAGGACAGAACTAGAACTCGCAAGTCTCCTAGTCCAGTGATGGCGAACCTTTTAGAGACCGAGTACCCCAAAACTGCCCCCCCACCCCTGTACCCAGTCCGCCGTGCCCACGGCCCACCACAGATCACCCAGGTAGCCCAGCAGTGCTGTGGTGGCCGCGCCCTCCGCCTGTGCCCCGCAGCATCAACTGCGTGTGACGGGGCGCAAGGGTGGAGTCTTGTCCCTGCTGCCCAGTTACCATGTCCTTGGCTGCGCTGCTTCATGTGGGCCATGCCCAGGGGCGACTCTCCTCCGGGGGGCTGCTGGTGGGGGCCGTGGGAGGAAGCGGGGCTGGGGCAACGGTGAGTATGCCCACAGAGAGGGCTCCGAGTGCCGCCTCTGGCACGCGTGCCATAGGTTCGCCACCACTGTCCTAGTCTCTAGGCCGGGTGGGCAACTACTATGGCGACTTTATGACTTGTGGAGTTTAGCTCCTTATTGGCTGGCTCAGGAATTCTGGGAGTTGAAGTCTACAAGTCATAAAGTTGCCATTATTGTCTACCATGTTCCAGGCCAGCATCTTGACTTATTTTTTTTTTTATTTATTTTTTTAAAATCAACTATAAGGCTAGCTTTTCATCCCAGCAGTCTATATTAGGGGTCTTCAAAGTTGGCCCATTTATGGCCAAGTCATAAAAGGGCCAAGTTTGAAGACCCCTGATATAGATTGTGTCAGCGAGCCCGTCATAGAACAAGAAAGGAATGTGCAGATAACGCCGAAGTCCGTATCCTATTTTGTCTCGGTCCGATTTAGCATGATTCAGAAAGAGAGCCCTGCCTTTTCATTACCATAAACGTGAATTAAATTTTATTATCTTTCTGTCTCTCTCTCTTTTTTTTTTTGATAGACAAATGGCATTGTGGCACTGATAATTATCCTCATTTTGTTACTGTTGCTGGGGATTGCTGCTCTATGGTGGTTTTGGCCTCTGTGTTGCAAAGTGGTAAGTAAACTTTTTCCTCTCTGGCTGGCTGGGGAATTCTGGGAGTTGAAGTCCACATTTCTTAACGTGATTTCTTATACAGTGCTCTGTAGTCTTCCCTCAGTTTGGGTGAGCAGCATAGCCAATGTATTATTGATTTGCGAAGGTTATGCTCCAGTTGGAATGACTGAGGCATCTTTCCTTGCAAACTGAATGCCAATATAAATATCATTGCAACTGGCACCTTGGTCTGCTTTTCCTGAACTGCTGGCTCATCAGCAAGACCTTAATTGGTCGACTTCTGGAGTTTATATTCCTGCACCTTTCCGTGCTAATTAGCATTCCCTTAAATTCCCTACCGAACTAATTTAAAAAAAAACAACAACACATGGAACCGACGTTAATATCTGGATAAATCCCCCTTTACCTTTAAAAGCTTCTTATTAATCTTAATAGGGTGCTATGAGAAAACAACACTGAGTTCTAAAATCCCAATTTTATCCCAAAGTGTCGTCTTTGAGACAGTGATAGTTGGCCCAAGATAGGGCGCCACGTTTTATTGTAGTGATAGCATATATCAGTGATGGCGAACCTTTTAGAGACCGAGTGCCCAAAAACCAGCCTCACCTGCCCCCACTCCATTCCAGCTCCGCCCCATCCCACCCGCTCTGCCCCGCTCTGCCCCCAGCCCAGCCCTACCCACCCTCAGGGCCACCCACTGCCTCCACGGCCTGCCGCAGATTGCCCAGGTAGCCCAACAGCGCCATGGTGGCCATGCTCTCTGCCCACACCCCACAGCATCATCTGCACGTGACGGGGCACAAGGGCGGAGTCTTGTCCTTGCTGCCCAGCTGCCATGTCCTTGGCTGCACTGCTCCGCACCGGCTATGCTCGGGGGCGACTCTCCTCTGGGGGGGCTGCTGGTGAGGAGGGGGCCATGGGGGGAGGTAAGGCTGGGACGACGGCGTGAGTTCCCACAGAGAGGGCTCTGAGTGACACCTCTGGCACTTGTGCCAAAGGCTCGCCACCACTGGCATATATGCAATTTTAGGTAGTCCTCGATTTACAACTATTCATTTACTGACCATTCAATGTTACAAGGTCTCTGAAAAAAGTGCTCTTATGACCGTTTTTCCCACTTAACGACCGTCGCAACATCCCCACAGTCACATGATCAAAATTCAGACGCTTGGCAATTGACTCTTATTTATGACGGTTGCAGCGTCCCGGGGTCATGTGATCCCCTTTTGACAAGAAACGTCAAAGGGGGGGGGAGAGAAGCCAGATTCAATTCACAACCGTGTTAACTAACATAACAACCGCAATCATTCACTTAACAAATGTGGCAAGCAAGGTTGTAAAACGGGGCAGAATTCACTTAACAACTGCCTGGCTTAGTACTGGAAACTTTGGGCTCAACTGTGGTCGTAATTCGAGGACTACCTGTGCTTGTAACTTTGGTTCCTGCATTTTCCCCCCCCCCCAAATAGAATGGCATAAAGCTGGCCTTCTTTTTCAACAACTGGCACTGTTCTGGTTAAAGCCCGATATTTGCCATTTTAGTTCAGCTCGCGCCTGCCCTACATTGCAGGACAGGAATAGAACAAAATTTGCATTGAAGGAGGACCGTTTCCTTTTCCCCCTACTTCTCCCCCCCCCTCCTGACCAGTCAGTCTTCCTCGCTGGCAGCAGCCAGTTGGCATCTAGCGTGTCCAAGGAACTGGGGGCATCCTGCTATAATTGTTGGCAGGAGCCAGTTGGTGATTTTTATTTATTTATTTTTGACTTGATCTGCAGTCCGGGCAGGCCTCGCCAGGTTGTGGAGCGGGTTTTCTCCTTTGTGAAAAAGAGTTGGCTGTTGACAGTTTGTTCGCTCTTTCGTGAGCGTTAGCAAACATCTGACTGCATCAAGCTGGCTTTGGACTCTGGGGCTGACATTTTATAATGCCCACCACATTCAAGCATTGGAGAAGTGCTAATGAGCACACCAAGGGGCAGTTGCCTGAAGACACTCGTTTATTTTTTTTTTTAAAATGAACTCAGTATCTTTACCAATCTCTCTACTTACCTACCTACCTACCTACTTACTGTATCTGTCTATTTGTCCATCTGTCTGTTTAATTATCTATTATGGAGCAAAACCGGCTGTCTTCTAAAACGAAGTCTTAAATCCCTCCTCCCCTCCCCTTGTTTGGCTAAATAAACACCCAGCAGCCTGTTCTTGACAATGATAATAATACCAAACCCTAAAAATTGGAGAAGACTCAAACTCTGCATATGGTAAACAAAATGGAGATTTTGTCTCCTGGGCTCTTGCGATGGTGTTTAAGAAATGTGAATGAAATAGAAATACTTGACATCTTGGCAATATTATGTCTTTTAACATGTGCAAGTTCTCAGGATGAAGGAATTACAGACGCTCTTTCTTTCCCTTCCGGCCCCCGTGGAAAATAAGGAGAGCTTCCTGAGCTGGTTTTGAGGGAAATGATGGATTTGAAGTAATTTTAGGGGGCCCCATGCTGTTAATAAAGTTGATTTAATTAAAATACTTTGGTGGGGGCGAGATCTTATCCATTTTTGTTTCTCCTAGGGGAGCGTTAAGCCTTAAGTGTTGTGCCCAGTCTGGAAAAAAAAATCCTAATAACCGTAGTTTATATAGAATTAAACCAGATGCATATCGCAGAATATAAAATCATTGCAATAAAAAAGATCTCCAGGTTTGCTACTGTTAACATTAATAGAGATGCAGCCTGGATCCAATTGGAAATTTGATCTCATTATTTGGAGGGCGCCATTACAGGAAGTCCTCAACTTATAGCCATTTGTTTAGTGACTATTCAAAAAGTTACTTATAACCATTTTTCACAAGGCCGTTGCAGCATCCCCATGGTCACATGGTTAAAGTATCTAAGGACTGTATACCAGGGGTCTTCAAACTCGGCCCTTTTATGACTCGTGGACTTCAGCTCCCAGAATTCTATAGCCAGCGTGTCTGGCTGAGGAATTCTGGGAGTTGAAGTCCACAAGTCATAAAAGGGCCGAGTTTGAAGACCCCTGGTTTTAACGAATATTTGCCATTCTCTCCTTTATCATCTAATTTGTCCCTTCATCAATAGGTTATTAAGGATCCTCCTCGGCTACAGCCTACAGCTCCAATAGAGGTAAGCTTCCAAACTGCTCCGATGGCTTGCTCTTTACAAAAGTAGATCACCGTGTTGCCAATGACTTAGAAATACAATTTAAGGTTGACCCAACTTGATTTATTTGCCTCATGAAGGATCCTTTTGCTTTTCCCATCCTGCAATAGTTGGCGATATAAATAAATGGTGAATTTGAAGGTCCGTAGGATGGGGGCACCAGGAGGAGAAAGAAGCAGAAATGAGTCAATTATCTTCAAATAACCATTTTTTATTCATTTATTTTTCCTTATTCCCAGGACAGAGTGTTAAGTGAGCCTGCTGTTCACCATAATGTATATATCTGCCATAAGAGAACATGTCAGGACTTCATGTTAACACATTTCAGCCATGTTTTTTTTTTTACTGGGTTAGGCATTTGTGGATCCAAACACACATGTGTGGAATCCTTTGATAAAGAGTAGATGTCTCGTATCAATAAAGGATCTTTTGGGGAAATTTTTTTCCTCATGAAATGGGAGCATGGCCTCTTTAGCCATGTTGAAACCACTCTCTTTGGGATTGTTCATAAAATTGTGTGATCACATCCATCAACTTTAGCTGGATATCCAAACGGGTTAGCTATAAAGAAAAGGGTGGGGGAGTTAGTCTGTTAAAGCACAGCATTTCCTTTTATAGGGTACACTATGTTAGCTAGATTGGTTACCCCCCCCCCCCAAAGTGCACAAGTAAAAGTGTTGCTATGTGGCAACTCAACAGGAATTGGATTGTAATAAGCACTTCAAAATACATTCCACTGCAAATTGATTTTCCTTGCACATAACCAAGATGCTCAGTTTATGCGTTCTGTGGCTGAGGATGCCAGCAAGTATAATTCACAGAATATCTTTACTCACTCCAACAAAGTGGTAATAATCTTCCGATCTGGCTGTATTAAACGCCTTGCACATCTGTATTTTTGCTTCGGTGTTCTATTAGATAACCCCCCCCCCCATTTTGCACTTTTTATTTTGTCTTTGTACATTCAGAGGTCCTAAAAGGGGTGTTGGGACATACTTGCAGTGCAGCCTTAAATTCAGTGTGATCATTCCAGAATTGTGATAATCCCTTCTTCCTTGGAAATGCAGAGAATTCTCTGTATTTCTTTAGGGGAAATTATAACGGCTATCAACCGAAGTTGGCTAAGCATGTAAACCTGTGGTATCTTTCAGATGTGTTGATGCTGCAGCTACACACATAGAAAGACGACTGGCCATACCGGCAGAAGAAAATGGGACCTATAGTGCCAACCCCTTTAGGGCAAGGCTGCAATGGGGTGTGTTTGAATACAAACCTACTTCTTTTCCCCAGTACATTTTCTCTCTAAATCAGCTGGCAGGAGGATTGGAAAAGATGTTGGCTTGCTAGAAGCCCTTCATTTCAAGCAAGGAGAGTCAGAAGATTAACAGTCTTCCCCCACCCCCTCTTGCTGGCCACCCCAGAGGAGACAGGAGTGACTAGTGGATTGCAATTTGTCCACCCCAGCATGCCCAGATTTGAATCGATAGGAAAGAATATTTGTAGTTCAGGATTGAATTGTGGGGTCTTGGGTGCTCTCTGAGCTTGGTAGCTTTCTTGCAGACATTTTATTACCCTAACTAAACTTATTTAGTTTAGTAATGAAACACTTGCAAGAAAACCACCAAACTCAGAGAGCAAATAGGACCCCACAGATAAGAACTGACTCAGCGATGCATGCATTCTGTTCGTTAGGAAAAAGACTTGCATCAGCTGAAATATGCAGCATATTTTGCTAGGACTGCATCTTGAAAGGCTGGATGAGAAGAATAGGCAGTAGATACATCTATCCATGGTAGTAGATATTGTATTTTTTAGGACACGAAGAACCTTTCATTTTAAATGACCTTGCTAAGAAGTATTTATTTATTATTATTTGTTAAATTTGTCCGCCGCCCCATCTCCTATATTACTTCAAAAAAAGTTGTTTTTGTCTCCCAATGGTATCTGTGGGGGAGAGGAGGGCCAGTTTGGTCTAATGCAGGGGTAGGCAACCTCGGCTCTTTTATGACTCGTGGACTTCAACTCCCAGAATTCCTGAGCCAGCATGGCTCAGCTTGGAAACCTCTCCCTTTCCCGGCAGCATGGCTGGCTGAGGAATTCTGGGAGTTGAAGTCCACGAGTCATAAAAGAGCCAAGGTTGCCTACCCCTGTTCTAGGAAGAAGGTGTTAGCAAACCGCTTTCAGTGATTGATGAGAAAGCTACAGAGAGACCAGTCCTTCAGCTCAACCCGAAGGAGTCTTTACCAGTTTTTTTTTCTTTAAAAAAATGCAATATTCAGAAGGTTCACGAGAGCATTTCAAATAAGCTTTTTATAACCCGATGCACTCTTGATACGTTGGACTGCAAACCCCCAAGTTCCTAGCAAGAATGGCCATATGGACTGTGAATTTTGGAAGTTAAGTCCCTCAAATTAGAAGGGTAGCAGATTGTGGAAACTTTGTTGGTCCATAACTCATTTAGCTTCTGACACCGATTCTGCTGTATCTGCTGTAGATTTTTGTGCCTTTGTTTGATGGAAGGGTTTTAAATCGTGAAAGTTTGTTAATGGCTATATTTAACTGTGTTAAATATGTTGACAATTTTGTTCAATTAGTTGGGGGGGGGAATGGTTTAATTCCAAAACCTCCTTATTACTGGAAAAAAAATTGAAATAAAATAATCAAGCAACAGGTTTTATCCTGTTTTTAGCTTGCAGTAGAACTAATATTTTGTGCCGTTCAAAATATATGTGCGGTATGTAGGAAGCTCCTCAACAAGCATTAATTTGACATTTATATTTTGTTAGAGGTATAGCTTATTGTCCTTAATGCAGATAGTCCTCTACTTACAACAGTTCTGTGATGACCCAGGGCATCGCACAGAGGCAATGCAGTCAGCTGGCAATTCAAACAGTTCTTTTATTGCTCCAAATTTTCCCCAAATGCTCCCACGTTTGCTGACAAGCCTCCAACAAAAGAACACACACACACACACACCCCTTCATCCGACTGTGGCTGAAAGGAGGTTCAACTACAGTCTGCTTAGCATAAGAAAGTACTCAAGGCCATAGAGATAACAAGGAAGAAAACATAAACTTAAGGAGTCTGTTTGAATCCTAGCTCGCCTGAGCAGTTTTCAAAAGAGAGAATCCGAAATACAACCTGAGGTCTTTAAACATTCAAGCAACGTGGTCAGTCAGTCCAATAGTCCAAGTTTCCAGGTTTCCAAACAGAAGTCACAGAACAGGAGATCAGCAACAATACACCACACTCCAAGGAATCGGCGTTTGTCCCCGACAAATACCTCTCCCCACAGCATCTCCTTAAATCTCAGTCTCCAGGTGTGCCTTGTGGAGAGGGGCGGGACGCTCTCCTCCCGAGTAGTTGAGCCTGCCTGCATTGTTCCCTCCTTCTCTCCACTCTCCGTGCTCTAGGATCAGGTGGGAGTGGCCCTTGTTCATCTCCTGAATTCTGTCTCTCCTGTTCCTCCTGTCCCAATCCTGAAGGGCCCTGGCCTGCCTCGGCCTGCTCTTTCCCACATTCCTCTGAAGCCACAGACCCCTCTCCCTCGGCCTCCATAGGGTCCCATTCCAGTTCATTTTCCTCCACAGATTCAGGCTCAGACGGAGGCATGACAAGTTCATTTAGTGTAGACATGTCAAACTCGCAACGTCATGTGACGATGTGCAACGTATCGGAGCTTTTTTGCCATTGCCAGCAATGAGGTGGGCGCGGCTCCGGTATGATGAAACTGGCCCACGCGCTGGCAGTTTGACACCCCTGATTTAGTGCCATCCACAGTTACAATGGCATTGAAAAAAAATGATCATTTTTTTCACACTTATGACCATTGCAGCATCCCCATGGTCATGTGATTTACATTTGGATGCTTGACCACTGGTTCATATTTATGACCCCTGTATTGTCCTGGGGTCCTGTGATCATCTTTTGCGACCTTCTGGCAAGCAACATCAGTGGGGAAGCCAGAGTCATTTAACAACCGTGTTATTAATTTAACAGCTGCAGTGATTCACTTAACAACTGTGGCAAGAAAGGTCGTAAAATGGGGCAAAACTCACTTAACCAATTTTTCTCACTTAGCAACATAAAGTCTTGGGCTCAGTTACAGTCATAAATCAAGGACTATTTCTATTTTCCTTGTGTTCTCGCCGTTTTGCCTCATATCATCTTTAGGAAAAAGTTGCCTGCGAGGAAGCTGGTTTTTATATATATATATATATATATATATATATATATATATATATATATATATATATATATATATATATATGAGGATTTATTTTCTCCCCAAAATCTAAATTTATTCCCATTCCCCTCAAAAAATGTTCTTGGATTTTTCTCAGGAGGAAGAAGATCCTTTGCCTTCCAAAAAATGGCCGACAGTGGACGCTTCCTACTATGGTGGACGAGGAGTTGGTGGCATTAAAAGGATGGAGGTCAGTAGCGTGGAACTGAGCACTGCAGTAGGAGATGTAACATCTCGTATGAGTTGAAGGGAGGGAGACAGTGTCGTATTTTGGAAGGGAGTTGCTGACAGCTACTGTGGTGCTGTGTTGCTGGACGTGAAGCTAAGCCAGAGCAACTGGGCTTCTACTTTGTTGGGGCAGCAGCTGAACCTTATGAATTGTTAGGTTCCGTTGGTAATTATTGCAAAACATTGTGCAGCTTCCATGGAATCTGATGGGCTTGGAAGAACATAAAATGTCAAGAGATGAAGCAACCTCTTTGGGGCTGTTGTATTATTGATTAATGATATGGGTTTGTGATTATGAAGTACACTGCCTTGAGTACTTTTGCTAGAAAGCAGCTGTGACTTTGGATTCTCCTCCAGGAATTGAGGTGGAATAGCAATTATAGCAAGGCCTGCAAAGCATGATGACCCCATTAGATCCACTGGGTGGTCCATTGTTCTGGTTTTTATTTTTTTTTTCCACTGATGTGAGAATCAGTCCTTACCTTCTCTCTACAGCAACTCTATGCTTGCTGTGCTTAGATTATTCTAACAGTATGAATAAATAACAGTTGCTGATGTTATTTTTTATTGTTCTAAGACAGAGGTGGGGAACTGTGGCCCTTTTATGACTGGTGGACTTCAACTCCCAGAATTCTGGCTCAGGAATTCTGGGAGTTGAAGTCCACCAGTCATAAAGAGGCCATAAGTTCCCCACCTCTGTTCTAAGATGACATTGCCTTCAGCATTGCTTCTTCTTTTAGAAGTTTCATTTCAGAATTGGAAAGGGGAGATTTGAGGGTCAGAAGATATTGTTTGAAGAAAAGTGGATGAAGAGATCAATGTTCTTCTTTTCCATTACCTAATAACTCCCTTTTTATGGCCCTGTAATCACTTAATTCAGGGTAGAGTCGGTGCGACTGGATGGAGCTGAGCATTTACTGGCCGGATGCCCTTCCCGACACCTACATGGAGTTCACAGCAGACATTTTTTTTCTTTGTGCCCCAAGAGAGAATTTACCTAGGACTGAACTTTAAACCTTCTGAGTGGGAGGCGAGCATCTTCATCACTAGGCCACTCAGTGAGTGGTATTGGTTGATGTATAAAAGAACACAGAAAAGACAGCATTTCTCCACACAGCGCATTAGAAATATGCTTGCAGGTGTAAATTTTATGTTTAACTTAAAAAAAAGTTAAGATCTAAGAGAGAACTAAGCTACGCAATCAGAATTGTGCATTTTCAAATATGAGTTGCTGTGGATTATCGTTGAGTTATTGCTTTTGTGCATCATTCATTGATTTCATTGAGGCATGTGATTGGTCATTTGTAGAAACTGGATACAGCGACTGGATGAACTTTAGGTTATTCCAGCTTTTCTTAGCACTGAACGGTATCTACACTAGTGGCCAAAATTGTGGAAACCTTTTGGGAAAAGTGTACAGTAGAAATGCCACCTTTGGTTAAGTTTCCACCCATTTTTCTTCTAATTTCTTTATAACTGTAGCCTTGTTCACTTAATAATACTATTTTACATCGCTTTCTGGGCAACCAGTCAATTCTTTGCACCATTACTTTAATTTTACAAGCTCACTAAATGAAAGAACACAAAAAAACCCAACCAACTTGACAGCAATCACATAACACACTGACAAATGTCCTCCTCTCAGCTTCAATACATGACATCAATAACTGAATCCTACTGTGATCTGATTGGCTCATTGCCAAAACAAGATGACACCTGATTGGCTCTCTAAACACTCACACTCATTGGCTACAATCAGAGGAAGGAAAGCTACCTAATATCAACCTAAGCAAGTTGTGCTTCCCTTTTCTGGTTATTTGGCTATAACTCTTCATAGAATACAGTACAGATAATTGAACAAACTTTGTTGCATTACATTCTTGATTAGATTATCTTTCCATTGACATATAATTTTATGGTACTAATCCCCCCAAAAGGGGTGTTATTAGCCATCAAACCTCAAAAATACACTTTTCCCAAAAAGGTTTCCACAATTTTGGCCACTACTGTATAAAAGATTAGAAGTCATTCTTCCTATGTTCCTACAGAAATCAGCTCTTAAATAATAAATAATAAACTTTATTGTCATTGTATGTGTATACACAGTGTACACATACAACGAAATTTACTTGACACCCAAAGACCAGATCCCACACACATAATCCTCAAACACACTCCCACCCACCACAATTCCCCACCCCTAAGACCACCCAAACATCCACACAACAGACCAAGTAATACTGTCCAACAGTTCACTGATGGTGGCCCTTCAGTTCATTATTGAGTGCAATTATAGCTCTGGGATAAAAACTATTCAGAAAACGTGTGGTCCCAGTTTTAATCATTCTGTATCTTCTGCCAGAAGGCAACAGTCCAAAAAGATTGTAAGCAGGATGGGAAGAGTCCCTGAGAATGTTATACAACTTCCTCAAACAACGAGATTTGAAGATGTTGCCCAGGGTTGGTAGCTGAAATCCGATAATATTCTGGGCAGTTTTAATGATTCTCTGTAGAGCTTTTTTGTCCACTACAGAGCTACTTCCATACCATAACAAGATTGGGTAAGACCTTAATAAGCTTTGATGTCAGTTTGGCCCATTGACTTTTTTTAAAATGAGAATTGGATTATAAAGATGTCCTTATGGGTTCCCTCCCCCGATAAATAGAACCATTTTGGCTCTCTTTTCATAGCTTAGGAAGAACTGATTCCATCATTTCATTAGGGCCCCAGATAAAAGAAACTTGTTTCAAGTAATTGAATGCCAAAGAGACAATAAGGCTTTTCAAGTCCATTTTAGTTATTTTTGGAAGAAAGATATATATAGCACTGTATGTGTATTCTCACTGTGTGCCAGCCAAGTGATTTTATAAGGGTGATATTTGTACTTGAAACGCAGCTGGAATACTTTTGAAATGACTCAGTACGGTTTAAGTTCATGTAGCAGGCGGAGATAAGCAAGCTCTTAGCTCTTAGCTTCAGCAATGCATGATAGTATGAGGTTAATAAAATTGGCTTAGGTGAGGATCACGAAAGGATGGTTGAAAACCCCAAATAACCCTGACGCTCTCAGAATTCTCCAAACAATAAATTGCTTCTTTGTGAATTGGTTCTTCCTTCTTTGGAGTTTGGGATTTTACAATTCCAATATACTGAGAAGGATGGTGGGGGAGCTGGAAGAGGAATGAAAGAGGGCAGCATGAGAGCTTATCTATTTATTTCTTGATCAGTGCCCAGATGAGCATAGATTAGCTCCCAAGATTAACATCAGGCCAACAATCAAGAAGTAAATAATATCTCAACTGAGGGACTGTCAAAAAGCTAACAGTAAACAGCCCAGCCAAGACTACTCCCACCAGCACTGACAGAACAAGCCACTACACTATAAACTGAGAGCACACCTCACTCCCTACTAGCATGGATGATGTTACCTAGTTCTGTAATGAAACGTCTGCAAGAAAACAACCAAGCTCAGAGAGCACCAAGGACCCCTCATTTCAGCCCTGAGTTACAAGTATTCCCCCTTTATTGGCACATGGATTCTGAATGACAAGAAGAGCCAGCTTCTTGTGTTGACGTGCTCGGCCAGTCTGATATGGAGACTTGCTTTCTTTAGGTCCGTTGGGGTGACAAAGGGTCAACTGAGGAAGGAGCCCGGCTAGAGAAAGCAAAGAATGCAGTGGTGAAACTCCCTGAGGAAGTAGATGAGCCAGTTCTACCTAGAGCACCGAAATCAAAGCCTACCTCATCGCCCTCCCAGGAAAAATGGTACACTCCTATCAAGGTACTTGATAAATCCTTTATCATTGAATATCATGTTTGCTTTGAATGTCTGTCTTTCTTTCTGTCCTTCCTTCCTTCCTTCCTTCCTTCCTTCCTTCCTTCCTTCCTTCCTTCCTTCCTTCCTTCCTTCCTTCCTTCCTTCTTCCCTCCCTCCCTCCCTCCCTCCCTCTCTTTCTTTCTTTCTTTCTTTCTTTCTTTCTTTCTTTCTTACCTCCCTCCCTCCCTCCCTCCCTCCTTCCTTCCTTCCTTCCTTCCCTCCCTCCCCTTCCTCCCTCCCTCCCTCCCTCCCTCTTTCTTTCTTTCTTTCTTTCTTTCTTTCCTTCCTTCCTTCCTTCTTTCCTTCCTTCCCTCCCTCCCTTTCTTTCTTTCTTTCTTTCTTTCTTTCTTACCTCCCTCCCTCCCTCCTCCTTCCTTCCTTCCTTCCTTCCCTCCCTCCCCTTCCTCCCTCCCTCTTTCTTTCTTTCTTTCTTTCTTTCTTTCTTTCTTTCTTTCCTTCCTTCCTTCCTTCCTTCCTTCCTTCCTTCCTTCTTCCCTCCCTCTTTCTTTCTTCCCTCCCTCCCTCCCCCTTCCTTCTTCCTTCCTTCCTTCCTTCTTCCTTCCTTCCTTCTTCCTTCCTTCCTTCCCTCCCTCCCTCCCTCCCTCCCTCCCTCCCTCCTTTCTTTCTTTCTTTCTTTCTTTCTTTCTTTCTTTCTTTCTTTCTTTCTTTCCTGCCCCATCTCAATCAATGACTTTGGGCGGCTTTCAATTCAGAAATATTTTACAATTAAAAATTTAAGAAACATTTCAAAACAATAAAATCAGGGGGAGAAAAGCATTAAAAACATCCAGTTCAAGATACACAAGAGCAAAATATTTGGCCCGTTAGCAATACAGATAGTCTTCAACTTACAATGATGTTTAATGACCCATTCAAAGTTATAATGGCACTGAAAAAAAAAACGACATATGACCATTTCGTTCAAACTTACAACCGTGGCAGCATCCCGTGGTCGTGTGATCAAAATTCAGATGCTTGGCAACTGGCTGGTACTTATGACGGTTGCAGGGTCCCGGGGTCATCTGATCCCCTTTGGCAACCTTCTGACAAGCAAAGTCAAAAGGGAAGCCAGATTCATTTACCACCTGTGTTACTAATTTAACACCTGCAGCGATTCATCTAACAGTGGCAAGAAAGGTAGAAAAATGGGGCAAAACTCATTTAACAACTGTCTCACTTAACCACAGAGATTTGGGGCTCAATTGTGGTTGTAAGTCGAGGACTACCTGTATAGTCAGGAAATGAAGCCCTTGGCACATTCAGTGCCCCAGGGCTCCGCAACATAGCCAGTTTTTTAAGGCCTTATGAAAGGCTGACAGGGTTGGGTCAAATCCCATAAGGTAACTTTGTTGTAACGTCAAACTATTGCTAAATAACCAGTCCTAAATCGAGAACTACTCTATTTCTATCTAATGCTATACAAAATTGAACAAAGGAGTAATTAAAAATAACCTTACTGTATTTTATTGGATTTTTAAACTATTTCTTGCCATTTATATCCGAGCAAACTGTGCTTCATCCAGTAACTCCCTGTTTTCATTAGCCAAAATTTTACTTAAATGGAGATATTATATAGCCTTTAATCAAGACCGGGGGTTGAAATCCTGAATATAGTAACTGAAAGTAAGCCCCATAAGCCAAATATTTTGAGTGAATGAATTTAGTATTACTTTATTTAGCTTTATTTGATCTTAGTCTGTATGTTTTAAAAGCCCAGGACTAGGAATTTCCAACTCATTTAACACACTGTTAGGAACTACTTACTCTTGCATTGCTGGCTCAGTGTGTTCCCATTAAAGAGAATTTATACCTAATAGCATCCCATTTAAGGAGCAATTGTTGTCCTGCAGTGTCATTTGGCTGGAGATGATGCCTGAGACATATTCAAGGATGGTTAATGGATTGGGAAATGGTTCTCACCTCTGCCAAATCCTCAAAAGTCTTCCTGGATTTCTCTTTACAGGGTCGACTTGATGCCCTTTGGGCTTTGCTAAGGCGGCAGTACGACAGAGTGTCTTTGATGCGACCGCAGCAAGGAGATGAGGTGGGTGAACAGATGCACCTGAGGGCTTTCCTTAGCAGGTCGAAGGATGGGCACCACAGCTTCTTAAGCTTCCTGGGACGGTTTGAGATGCTCAGTGCACGGGAAGAACCTTCTAATGGTGTAGGACAGGGGTCTTCAAATTTGGCCCTTTTGTGACTTGTGGACTTCAACTCCCAGAATTCCTCAGCCAGCATGTCTGGCTGAGGAATTCTGGGACTTGAAGTCCACAAGTCATAAAAGGGCCAAGTTTGAAGACCCCTGGTATAGGAGAATGTATGGATCTTCTCCCCTATGCAGTGGGGCTGTGTTACTATTACCCTTCTCATCTTTTCTAGTACCTTCTTCTATTTGGTATCATATGATTATATTACCTTGATGGTTGTTGTTTGTATGTACATGTTGTTTCTATGTTTGTATGTACACTGATCATGTTGTTGTATGTACACTGAGAGCTTATGCACCGGAGACAAATTTCTTGTGTCCAATCACACTTGGACAATAAAGCCTATTCTATTCTATTCTATTCTATTCTATTCTATTCTATTCTATTCTATTCTATTCTATTCTATTCTACTCCACTCCACTCCACTCCACTCCACTCCACTCCATATACTCTACTCTACTCTACTCTACTCTACTCTACTCTACTCTACTCTACTCTACTCTACTCTACTCTACTCTGCTCTACTCCATATTAGATAGAATGACTTTTCTCCACTATTTTACATAGCACACATTATTCAGTTGAGTACTTCCAGATGTTTTATTACTTGCTTGCTTATCTATTGGCCTTGTAGATCACTCCAATGGCAAACAGCTCTGGGCAGGAAATATGAAAATGGTATTAATAGTGTGTTCGGAAAGCAAGAGGTTGGGAATAGGAGATGTGAGATGTTATCTGGTGAAAAGAAGGAATGGGTGTCTTCATCTGTGGTGTAAATTATGAACTAACCTTAGCTTTCCTCCCACAACATCCAAAACTACTATTCAAGCTTCCTCTTCTGGCCCATGCTTCAAGCCTCAGTGGTTGTTTATCATATACTGTAGTGCAGGATTTTCTAAACTCAGTAACTTTAAGACTTGCGAACTTCAATTCCCATAATTCCTCATGGCTGGCTGAGGAATTCTGGGAGTTGAAGTCTACAAGTCTTAAAGTTGCCTAGTTTGGAGACCCCTGACATAGTGCTTTGAAATCTGGGGAGTATCCTGTGGGTTCTAGCTCACTTTTGCCATTTCATAATGCTGTCCATGTATGTATGAATCAGGAATTATTAGCTAATGATGTTATCTAGTTGGGTAATGAAATGTCTGCAAGAAAACAACCAAACTCACAGAGTACCTAGGACCACACAGTTCAACCCTGAACTACAAATATTATCTTTTATTGGAACTGTGTATTGCCCTCTAGTTACTTTGAGCTTGTAACCTTTAGAATTTCTGGTCAGTGGGAATATGATGAGTTGCCATTCAAACACATCTGAAGGATGCCTAGTTGTGGGCAAGCTAGTGTAGACCTTAAAATGGAGATTTGTTCTTGGCTTTTAATTTTGTCTTCTTTGAGGGTCATAAAACAGACTTCCCAGCTTGTATATCGTGAACCGTCAGGGGTGAAATTTGTCAGTAATGTTGGCATTAGTAGATAAGAATTCTTGGTGATTTTAAATATCCTTTGTGTAGAAACTTTCACGAAGTATGTTAAAAACTGCCCGCGATTGCAAATGAAGGGAGCCAGAAAGTTAGCTCATCTTTCAAAAACTCTTTAAGGGAGAATTCATCAAGATTTCAGTGTTCAGTAACACTGCTTTTAAAATTGAACAAGTTAAAGGCAAGACTGGGATATCATTCAAAACCTCTGAACATCTTTCATTCATGCCACCGGTGCTTTCCAAGACAGGTGGTGGAATTGCACATTAACCGGGCAATTTTCTCCAGGTCTAATCAGCAAGAAGCTCTGTTGAAACCCATTATTTTCAAGTAAACCTGCTAAATATGAATCAGTTAAATGATTCAGAGAAACCCACTTCTGAGAAAGAAGTGTTTTCATCAATTGATTTCTCCTTAAATACAGTAACTGGAGATTATGTATTATAACATGTATGATTTTGTAGTTCCTTCCCATATGGCATAATCCCTACCGATAAAGAACCACCACTCAAATGTATGTGACTTGTTACATGTACTTCGACAATTCTGGAGCTCCTAAAATAAGAAATTGGGGGGGGGGGGAGAAAAGAAATGGCCCTCATTAAAGAAAACAAACAAACAAAAAATAATCACCCTGAATGCAAAGGAGTTTGGCTTCATCTGCAGATTAGTAACAGTTTAGAATTGTTTCTAATTCTGATTCAAATTTAAATATTGGCAATTGACTGTCTATTTCCAGATTCCATGTCACGAGAATGGACAATTTTTGTGCATACTCTGCAGGATACTAACATGGTAAGAGGACCAGGCCGAATAGAAGCCTAACAAATTCAAATAAAATTCATTTCTTAAGACCACTGAGAACTTTGGCCATCTATAAAATAAATAACAGCCAATGTTTGATATGGTTAGAAAAATAAAATAATAAAGAATATTTGGAATAGTCAAAGAAAAGGAGAGAAAAAAAGAGAAGGCGGGAAGTAGTAGAAATATGTTACCTCAGAGGGCAAAACTTGAGCATGGTGCCAGCCAATCTAAGAAAAACAGAATAACAGAGTTAGAAGGGACCTTGGAGGTGATCTAGTCCAACCTTATGACTTGGGCAAGAAACCCTTTACCATTTCAGACAAATGGTTGTCCAATCTCTTCTTAAAAACCTTCAGTGATGGAGCACCCACAACTTCTGGAGGTAAGTCGTCCCACTGATTAATTGTTCTAAATGTCCAGAAGTTTCTTCTTCTTTCTAGGTTGCTTCTCTCCTTGATTAGTTTCCACCCGTTGCTTCTTGTCCTGCCTTCAGGCACTTTGGAGAATAGCTTGACTCCCTCTTCTTTGGGGCAGCCCCTGAGATATTGGAACCCTGCTATCATGTCCCCCCTCGTCCTTCTCTTCATTAAACTAGAGATACCCAATTCCTGCAACCGTTCTTCATATGTTTTAGCCGCCGGTCCCCTAATCCTCAGTTTCCTAAATTCCCTCCTCATTTCATTGGTAAAAATTCGACGGAGGGGGAAAAGAAAATTAAAACCATCTTTTCAGGATAGTTGCCGGAAACTGGCTGTTGGCTAGCTAGGAAGTAAAATATTATCACCGAGTAGTGATTTGCCATGTTGTAAAAACATAATTACTATCTGGGGAAAATCCATGTTTTATACCCTGAAGGAAAATTTATTTGGGTATTCATAAGTTCCTCAGTACAGACACGTCTTCAGAGCCTCGTGTGTTTATACGTCAGGAAATGGAGTCTCGCTTTCCCGGGATGCTGAAACGCAACCGAACCGAAATGTGTCCTTGCCATCCACCGTCTCTGCACTTGTCCCATTAGAATTCCAGGTCTCAATTAGCCCACTGAAGTTGAAGCATGAAGAATCAGAGGAGAAACCCCATTCTCCTCCCTCCTTTCATTTATCCCCCCCCCCCGTTCTTTTTTTTACAAATGCCATCTATTAATGGGGAGCCTGGCTTGGTTTGAGAATTGCCTTCCATTGATCAGAAAAGGCTTTGATTGCCGATGGAACCCCTCCGAGTCATAAATTTTTCAGCCGGCACTCCGTGAGGTGAGCGCGGCTTGTACAGGTGTGAGTTAGCAGGTTGTCCTCGACATCTGTTCCAGGCAGAGGCGGTAGGTCCACATCCCCCTGCAGGGAGACCTCTGGGTTGTCAGCAGATGTAGTTAAGGAGGAAGAATGGGACTGTTTGGTCTCACATTTGCTGCCTGAGGCACGGCTGAAACACGAAAGGTAGAGTGGAGATGGACACAGCTGCGCTCCCAAAATTGCCCGAGGCACAAATAGAACAAACCTAATGTAGTTTGACTCCGTTATGGCGGGGAGAGAAGCAAAGAAAGCTACTACAGAGAAATGCAGTGGGGTAACATCTGCCACCAAATTTCCAGGGAGTAACGGAGGATGGAGAGTGGGGACCACAGTCTCCCTCCTCCTCCTCCTCCTTGTGCTTAAGCCACAAACTCTTTTGAAGACCTTCAGTCAAACATCTGGAGGTCATCCACAGGATCTCTTGTCTTTTCACAGCCTGCTTTGGGCTGGGTGTGGATTTGATTGGAGTTAGTTTTTTGGAACCCACCAAGAAGATAATTTATAAATGATACACCCACCGTGGAGACCCCGGCTATTTGTTTCAAGTCAAGAGAGAAGAAGAGAGGAGGAGAAGAAAGGGTACTTTTGGAGTTGTTTTGTTAAAAAAAACAAAAACCAAGACAAGAGTCAATTCTCCTAGAACGCTCCTTGAATTTAGTTGAGGCTCTGTTCGCTTTCCGACCACTGCAGTTGCTTGGGGGTTTTTTTTTTTTTTTAGGCATTGTTGCAACGACATCTTGTCATGCTGTTACAAAAGATGGCGTCGGCTGTTCTTTTCTGCCTCTTCCTCTGTGCGTCTTTCAAGGGGGTTGGGGGCAACCGTAGACAGAAACTTGGCATGAAGTTCAGTGTGAGCATGAGGTTTCTTTTGCTGCTAATCTGAGCTGGCTCATGCACGTTGATTTATGAGATCAGGATTGACACACAGGCACCTAAATTACTCACTTTTCTTTCTGGGGGGGGGGGGGGAAGAGAGGAGGGAGGGGCAACTCTCTTTGTTAGTTCTTCTTTATGAGATTTGCCAGGATTGAAAAAACTTATTGCCACATTTATTTATGTATTTATACGTGCATGCATATAAGCATGCATTTTGGGAAGCTGAAACAGGAAAGGTTGATTCCACCTACTGCATATGCATTCACTGAGTCTAACAGTATACAAGGATACACTCTTAAAGAATTAAATCGGTATTCTACAATCTTATTTTCTACCCTACCATATTTCTGGTATCTAACACAACTTCATCAGTTCTGATTCCAA